CTTTTCACAATATTCTAATTTTCTGATATGATGAATTTGAGATTTTCATTTGTTGTCATTTGTAATCATCAAAATTAAACAAAATAAACATCTGAAATATATGAGTTTGTATGTAATGTATGAATATAATATACAAGTTTCACTTTTTAAATGGAATTACTGAAATCAATCTACTTTTTCATGATATTCTAATTTTATGACCAGCACCTGTATACTAAATAGCTTTGTCCTTGTTTTTTTAAATAATGGTTGAAGATCACCGTTGTTGCAGTAAAATCCAACTAAGTGTTTCAATGAATAAACAATCAAAATTCAGCTTCAGTTCAATTTGTTCACAGGCCATCAATTCATAACACATTGTCTCAAGGCACTTTGCACTCGCAGCCAACAGACTGATTCCAACTGAACCTCGTTATCAATCCATGCAGTCCAGTCCTGCCGGTTATTCAAAAACAGCTGAAGGTTTGTTTCTTAGAAAACCGGTAGACTGCATGGAGTCATGGACTTGAAGCATTGAATCCTCCCATATGAGGCTGCAGTGGACAATCGCTTGCATTGTTTTTCACTTAAGGGTACCGTATTTTCACGACTATAAGGCGCACTTAAACGTCTTTTTTTTCCCTCAAAATGTGCGGTGCGCCCTTTGGTGCGGTGCGCCCTATGTGTGTTGTAACTGCGACTTTTGAGACCACCTCATTGAGGAGATGATGAAAGAGTGGCTGAATGTAAGGAGACCAGGTGGGTTTTTTTTCCACTCATCACCATCGCTGTTAATATGTAACTCCATGCGTGCCCATCTCACAGCTGATGTGAAAAACATGGGGAAACAAATTAACCCTGTGCTCGCTGTTCAACCGCTCGACATCGGTGTGAACCGGACCCAGCAAGTGCAGCAGAAGCAGCGAGTTTACATGCAAAGTAAATGGTTGACGCGCGTATAGGTGCAGCAAAAGGTCCTGCAGCGCGTTTTGAGCAGCAGGAGCGTTTAAGCATCTGGCAGGTGTTTTTTCATCTAAATAATCTAAATCTTGCAGCTATATTTGCTGTGATCAGTGGGAATAAAGTTGTTTTAATATGTTTTTAAGTGAGAAAGTCCACCTGAAAACTTCATAATTGCAGTCAGTTCATCCAGATTATCTATTTCTGTCGGAGGCGCTCAGACCCCCACATACCAGCGGTGCGCCGACAGGAGAAATCCTTTCATCAGCAGCCTCTAGGCTGGGCAGCCTCCGGGTTCACGCGGTGGATGGCAGGTGTTTTTCATCTAAATAATTTAAACTGCAGGCACCCATAAAAGCGAACATATTCCGTCGGCAGGTTTCAGGATTTTAAGTTAATTTAGGAGTGATCACAGCGCTGTGTCATCTGCGATGTGTCTGTCTCACGGCCAGCTGCCAGGTTTGATTAATACTTTTTAATAAATACATGAATAAAGCACAGTCATACTCAGTTTTGCCCCCGCTGTATTTTTAAATAGGCAGTAGAGGTATTTAAAGGTAGTAGAGGACATGTACCTGTATATAAAAAACGCGCCCTATAGTCCGGTGCGCCTTATGTGTGTGTTAAATACAGAAATGGGACACATAACTGAGACTGCGCCTTTTAGTACGGTGCGCCTTATGGTCGTGAAAATACGGTACTTCCTTACAGAGCATACGGAACAGTTCAACAATAATTGGATTTGTTTTTTTTTTGATTAATTGATTAATAATCAGATGGCAAAAGGTTCCTTAAAAAGACGTTTTGCTAAATTAAACCAGGTGAAACTAAAACTTTTCCACTTGAGAAGTTCTGGATAGAGCATATTGACAGATAAAAAAGATTTTTGTCTTAAATGCAAAATATTAACTTTTTTTTTAAACAATTTTAGCGTTATTGCTGCTCTAAGTGGGTCGCTCTGTCAGCTGAAGACACGTTTTAGACTCTACAGTTAACAATCGATTACTAAATTATTTGAAGATTATTCCAATTGTTTCAGCCCTACTAGTTTTATTTTCAGCTTAGTTATTGCAGCTTATTATGCAGCACTTGGACCACATTACCAGAAAATATATTGTTGACTTTAGTGGATTTGCATAGTTTTTAAAGCGACCAAATTGATTCTGCATATTGTTTTTTTTAGTTTGACTTAACAGGAGTTTAACTCTTAACTAACAGGTGATAAATGTTAAGGCTCATCCTATTTCCCCTTAATGTCAATATTTTCCCTAAAATGTATTGAATAGATAAAGATGACTGTTTTGATGGAATAGTAATTTTCACCCCACTGCTATTAGCTGTTATTTAGCACCTAATGAACCGACCATTAATAGAAGATCAAGAACTAATTTAGTTTAATTCCTCAATGATGCAGATTTATGCTTAACGTGCATTAACTATCTCTTTTGAATTGTCCTGATGTCAACATTTATATTTCACTATTTTCAAAAAATACTTGATAAGACTTACTTTATATTTGGAACAAAAGAGTTTGACTTCAGATGAACAAAATATTTTAAAAGCTGCTCCAGAAGCGTCTCCAAAATAAAGCAATACTGAAAGTTTGGGTTCACTTTACTGTTATAACCTCCAGAGCTGACGGGGACAGAATATCCACAGACCAGTCACGTAGGGTTTCTTCATACAAGAATGAAGAATTAAAGTTGTTTTTTAGTTCCTATCGAGGCAGGATAAGTATGAAAAAAAAAAATAAACAGAACATCTGTTTTTATCTACAAAGACCTGTTTTATTAATGGAAACGTTTCATTTACATTATTTAATTCCTGGACCCTGAGATTATGAGTTTAATATGAAAATCTTCAAACATGTAAGAGCTTATCTTGATGTTTTTGCACATGATTTACCTTTTTTTTTTTTTAAATAGTTATGTTTTTATTTTGATTACTGTTTTTATTTTAGATTACTGCAGGGTATGATATGGATTAGGAATGAAAAAATACTTATTTTTATTTCTCTTTCTTTAAAGAACTTGTAACGGATGTTGGGCTAATTCATCCCAGTACTGACCATAATCTGAGGGATTATATCTCTATTAGCCTTAAAACTAAACATTGGATATCCGTCATTCCACCAGTATAATTCATCAATATTTAATTATATATTTCTTGACAACAAATGAGGAGTATGTCTGGTTCCATGCATCAAACTGATGCTTGAGTCTGTTATGGAAGAGATGCTGAAGTGAAAATGTTGGTGTGGAAGTTTTTAAAAGGATCGGAAACTGATACTGAAACCGTTGTTTGCAGTAACTGCAACGGAGCAGAGGAACAGATCTACATATCATCTAGAAGGTCTAGAGGAAATTTTCTTCTGAAATTGGCCAGTTAAGTTTCAAAATAGCAGCATTTCAGATATTGGCTAAAACTCCAATATGGTGCATCCCTGTTTGACACATTTTGTAATCAAAACATTCAAAGAGCAAACAGAGTCCAGCTCCTGCTGCTTTCCTGCTGCTAAAGCTGGACTTAAAGGAAAAATCCAGTCAGAAAGGAATATCAACTAAAACCTTTATGGTGATTTTAATGAATTTAGTGTTAATCAGTAAAAAAAAAATATAGACAATCATTTTTGTCGTGATCACTGTGTCCGGGAGCGGCCAAGACATCGGATAAAAGTGAAAAATGAGTTATTTCACCTTTCAGATTCATAATCCTCCACGGACGGGTTCATCGTTGGATTGCCAACGATTTGCCATTGAACTTCTGGCCAGAGAAAAAAAACTTAATATAAACTTTATTTATTTATATAGCACTTTTCACAGACAAAGTCACAAAGTGCTTCACATGATAACATAAAAACAACACAAGGAAAACAGATAGAATGCAATAAAAGCAATAATATGTAGCCAACATTTGGAAGAAGAATGTTTTCAACATAACTTGGATAATAGCGCGTTGTGACAAACACCACTTACAGCTCTGGGACTTGATCAACAGCCGATACCGCACCGCACTGTGACGTCACAAACCGGTAGGAGGGAGTAGTGTTCTTTGTTGAACACGGATGCCTCCAGTAAAGCACATTCAAATAAAAATTACTGTTAATTAAAAACACTTACCATTTATTGAACAATGTGTAATAATTTCCTATTTAAAGTACTTTCCGAAGTTTTAATTCTCAATATGACTGAACTTTTCCTTTAAACTGTCTGTAAATGTTGGTGTCTGAAGCTCTGGGAGAATCCAACAGTTAAGTTTGTTAAATGCTGGAGTTCAGCTGCTTTCAGGATCTAATTAACATTCATACCTTTTACATCCTCTAGCTCTTCTATTTGGACAGCTGGCTGCAGCTTTATGCTCACTGATGCTAAAGGGAGGAGTGTTACTACGCTTTGATTTTTATTTATTTATTTTCTGGATAAACTGCTCCACTGGTCTGGCCTTGGCAATCTGCCTTTGCTTTGAACCGCCAGATTCGGTCCTAACAGTTTCCGTCACCAGGACACGGCACTCGTCTTCTATATCAGCAGAGCCGTCCAGACGCCAGTTGACAGCAAAAAGCTGATGATGACCTCAACAGCTCAGTTTCAAACACGGATATTAAATAAAGCTGATTTTGGTTTAGAAGTCAAACGTTTTCTGATGAGCAGAAGATGTTTTATTTGCAGCCTGTCTCCACATATTTATACTATTAGTCTCCTGCAGCAGGTACTGTTTAGACCTCTAACAAGGTGGAAGCTCTAAAAGGATCTGCTGAAATGTCCCTTTTTCTTTACTTGAGGCTGATCTATAGATCTTCACAGCTAATGAAGTTACACTGAGCTCTTCCTAACAGATAAGAGCTGCTAGACTTCCAAGGTTAGTCCTTGTGAGTCTCTTTGCTGAGTTTTTGATGTTCCAGTTCCTCTGCTGAGGATGGAGTGTAAAAAATTTAGACATGGCGCCATCTGCTGGGATATGGCTGTAATACACAAGTTGCTTAGAATGTGTTACAAACCAGGTAAAGATGTTTTCTACCCTGATCATGTAAAAACTGATGATCCAATGTGTTTGTGTCTCAGGTGATCATCGAGGTGACAGAGATGCTGCACAACGCCAGCCTGCTGATAGACGACATTGAGGACAACTCTAAGCTGCGCCGAGGTTTCCCTGTGGCGCACAGCATCTACGGCATCCCCTCGGTTATCAACTCGGCCAACTACGTCTACTTCCTGGGTCTGGAGAAAGTGCTGCTCCTAGAGCACCCCGAAGCCGTCCGAGTGTTTACCCGTCAGCTGCTGGAGCTGCACCGCGGCCAGGGGCTGGATATCCACTGGAGGGACACCTACACCTGCCCCACTGAGGAGGAGTACCGCAACATGGTGCTGCAGAAGACCGGGGGCCTGTTCGGCCTGGCTGTGGGCCTGATGCAGCTTTTCTCTGACTGGAAACAGGACCTCAAACCGCTCCTGGACACACTGGGCCTTTTTTTCCAGATCCGGGACGACTACGCCAACCTGAGCTCCCATGAATACTGCGAGAACAAGAGTTACTGCGAGGACCTGACTGAGGGCAAGTTCTCTTTTCCCACAATCCATGCCATATGGTCGCGTCCAGAAAGCACCCAGGTGCAGAACATCCTGAGGCAGCGCACAGAGAACATGGACATTAAAAGATACTGTGTGGACTACCTGGAGAAGGTGGGCTCCTTTGCCTACACCCGTCAGACACTGCGGGATCTGGAGGCCGAGGCCTACCGCCTTATTAGGGAGTTTGGGGGGAACCCTCAGCTGGAGAGCCTGGTCAAACAGCTCAGTCGAATGCATAATGAAGCAGAAGCCTCAGCAGACTGCAGCAGAGAGCCTTACTCCAGCCCAAACCACTGACCCCTCCCTCCAAATAACTCCCTTAAATTCACCAATGCACATACTCTCCAAACTAACCCTGGTTCCAATGAGCAAAGGAGCTTCTTTCTGGGCTAAATAGTGGCCAGAAATAGCATCCAGGGCCAATTCTTCCATCCTTTGTGCTGCGATGCTCTCAGGAATAAAAACTACAGTCAGCTGTTGCTTTATCACTTGATGAGATTATTTAAACAATCTTAAGCCTTTTCTTCTGATGCACACTCCAGTGGATCTAAGTGCTTTTTTTTTGTTCCAGCTAAGACTGTTAATTGTGTGAATGTTGTTTTGAGTAAAATCTCGAACTAAATCCGTATCCATCTGATTTTAGGTTCCATAATGACTAAATCAGCAGGGTGCCAATCCTGCAGAAAAACAACTCTGCAACTGTTGAGTCTGATTGCTTTGTAACAACACTGGCATTACGTGCTCAGTAGTGAGGTTTCATGTTCCCGACTGTTTCCATTCAGTCGTCTAACAGCACAAATCCACACTGTTACTGTGAGACATGTATGTATTAACACTGCTGTAATCTAGGTTCCTGATTGCACCTCTTGAATAAAAAAATCTTAACTAAATAAGGCATTCTTAATTACTTTGACTGAGGGAGAACAGCGCCATCTTTTGATGACTTGTTTAACTCAGAAGTTTTTGTGTAGCTTTTTTTTGACACTTCAATAATCTAATAGATAGGGAAGAGGATTAGGGCCACTGGAAAAAAAAAAAAAAAAGTTAACTGATTTTTAAATTTTATTTCAGTTTAGTATGGGGAAAAAGTCAGAATTCTGAAAAAAGTCAGAATTCTGACTTTTTTCTCAGAATTCTGACTTTAATCGAAGAATTCTGACTTTTTTATTGTCAGAATTCTGAGATTGAAGTCAGAATTCTGAGGAAAACAGAATTCGGAAAAAAAAAGTCAGAGTTCTGACTTTTTTTCTCACAATTCTGACTTTGATCGAAAAATTCTGACAAAAAAAAGTCAGAATTCGATTAAAGTCAGAATTCTGAGGGAAAAAAAGTCAGAATTCTGAGAAAAAGTCAGAATTCTGAGATTGAAGTCAGAATTCTGAGGGAAAAAGTCAGAATTCTGAGAAAAAAGTCAGAATTCTGACTTTTTTCTCAGAATTCTGACTTTAATCGAAGAATTCTGACTTTTTTATTGTCAGAATTCTGAGATTGAAGTCAGAATTCTGAGGAAAACAGAATTCTGAAAAAAAAGTCAGAATCCTGACTTTTTTTCTCAGAATTCTGACTTTGATCGAAAAATTCTGACAATAAAAAAAGTCAGAATTCTTCGATTAAAGTCAGAATTCTGACTTTATTCCCATACTAAACTGAAACAAAAAAATCTGAACTTTTTTTTTTTTTTCCAGTGGCCCTTATCCTCTTCCATAAATAGAAGATCATTACCTTACACATTATGTTAATGTGAGGATTTCATGTGGCACTATGTCATTTTCATTCTTTCTCTGCTTGGTGGTTTTATCAATTATGAGATGTTAAAGGTGAGTCTCTGGGGCCAGTTTTAACACTGAATAAATGTACAGCCCTGTTCCACAGCTTAAGAATCACATTATTAGGTTTTCTACTTCAGGCAGATAAAAATTCATTAAAAAAAAGCTTTTTTTTTCTTTTTTTTAAACCTGTGCAACAAAGTTTAAATCATGCATCTACATGTTTAGCTTTTAATTTGATAATAAATCGGACTATAAACTAGGGCTGGCCATTTAATTAAATTTACAATATATAATTGAAATTGAACAAAAATGCAATTTTCAAATCACACATGCATTAAATTTTTTAGTTACATTTAAGAAGACAAATAATTTTTATTTCCTTCCTGTCCTTTAGTTGGCCATAATAGGTTTAAATTGGGTTTGCTGCAACAAAAAAGCAAGAGAAACTTCCAGTAAGTCGATGCTTGCTAGCAGAAGCAAGGACTTTCCAGAGTTTAAAGTCCTGCAAACAATAAACCCGAACAAGCAAGCTTTTAAGGAAATGGAAAAGAAAAACTGAAACCTATCTGCAGGTTTGTGGTTTGAGAAAAGGAAAATCAAAATAAAATCTCTATGGTAATATTGGTAGATTTATGGCAACACTGTTCAGCCCTACTAACTTTTACAGAAAAGCAGAGCTGTTAACATTGAATAAATAAATCAATGGGGCAACATAGTTAAGTATACACACTAAAAATGTAGATGTATGTGAAAAGGCTTTTTTTGATCGGGCAAATCTGAGAGACTTTGTTTCACCTCTACAATGTTTTAGAGATCCCTCATCTACAGAAATCAGTACTTTGCTGGCTTCATTAAAATATTGTTTAGCTGATTAAGCAGGCAAAAATCAAAATATTTAAAATTAAAATGAAAGCAGCATGCCACTGAGGCAGATTGTCTGAATGGCACTGATTTAAAAGAGACCTTTTATGTTTCTTTTTAAACAGTTAGTACATCTCTGTGGGTTAAACAAAGTATGTTCCTTATATATTGGACACTAACTCTGATTTCTGATCTTTGGGGCTTTTAGATTGTTCTGTCTCTGCCCCTTTTATGTATATTAGCCTCTGCCTCAGCTCGGTGAGTACATTCAGACTTAAACAGATGCACAGTGGTACGACTGCACAGCTTTGACCCCTGAGTCAGATCCAGAAGTGAAGCTTCCTGCACATCTAGCGAGGATGCAGCAGGTGGTTTCTGAATGGTAAGTAGCTGATTGTTTCTGCTAAATGACAAATGATGCCCAACGGCAACATAAAACACACAAGCTTGCATCTCTACAATCTGCATATTTTAAACAGCAGGGACTGAACTTTCCTTCAGTTAACGTCATGAACAAACATTTATTTTCCAGCAGCTGTTGTGCATCAAACCAGCTGATCACATGTTTCTCTTCTAGTAATTAAGTGGCTGGAGCTTCGCTTTGGTTGCTAGGTGAGGGTAAAGCCGGTGGACTGTGATGTAGTAACAACTGGGAGGTTTTTGAAACTGCTTGTTTTCAAGACAACAAAATATTTATTGCCAAAAAAAAAGATTGGAGCTTGGATTAATTCTAAAAGCGCAGAAGACCCAAAATAAAGTACCGTAAAATGACTTGTTATAAGCTGCATATCTCCCCTTTAACTTTTTTTTGTCTTATGTTGATTCAACAATTTGAATATATATATTTTTTTAAAGCTGGGTGCAGACTTTATGAAATTATTTTTAGAGAGGCTTTTCATCAAATATATCAACCCCCAAAGGAAATTAAACTTTTAGTAAACAAGAAAAATGATGACTTTTCTAAGCATCTGGAGGCTTATAAAACGTCAGATGATTGAGAAAGAGAATCTGGACATATCTCAAGCCTTCTGGGACAATATTATACAGACAAATAGATTAGATTAGATTAGATTAGATGAGCTTTATTGATCTCACAGCTGAGAAATTCACCGGTTTACATATTGGCATAGTGCTTAAAGAAGGTGCAAACAAGGAGGAAAAGGTGCATTAGAAATAAAAATAAATAAAAAAATACAAGGGAATAAAAACAAAACTGGAGCTTTTTTGTAATGCACATAAACAGTATCTTTACAGACGGCACAATGAAGCCTTTAAGGTAAAGATGTCCATACTAATGGTCAAGCATGGTGGAGGATCCATAATGCTGTGGCGCCTTTACCGTTTCACAGGCATTGTATAATCGGAAGATTATCTAAACACTTCTGGTTAGATATCTAAGCATTTTATGCAGAAATTCCTTCTATTTATAATCCAGAAACTGTATATATTTAATCACTGCAGCCCTTTATGGAATGGAAATGTTCATTTATTGTCTGAAAAGCTGTACTAACAAAATGTTGTTTTGTATACACTAAAGTGACAATAAAAGCTGTCGAAGTCTATACCACCCTACAGATCATGGCCATGTTTACAGGCCTATGAAAGTCTGTTTCTTTTACTTTGAATTCAGTTTTTATGTCACTGTAACTTAGAAAACACATCTGCTAAATTCAACCATGCAGGTTAAAGAATTTGGCATTGAAATCCTTGAAGGTCTGGCTTCTAATCTGCTCTCAGGGTTCTTGTCATAGTTTCTCAAATACCTTGATTTCAAAAGCATTCAGTCATAATTGTCAGCAAAATAGATTTTGAATGATCTACGTTTGTCCGTATATAAACTTAATTAAAATCGGACTGTTTTGAGCAAAAAATCTACCTGGAAAAAAAAAAAACATTTAAAGGAACTGCCTCTGTGGGAAAATAAAACTAATTTGTAATGAATCATTAAAAGCCCAAACCCAATGACATTCATGCCAGTGAAGGGTGGATTTAACCTTCTACTTGCTATTTTAGGCGGCTTGCTGTGTACCTCAGTTAGAGGAGCAGAGATAGAGACGCCCTGAGGTTTTCTAGCATTTTTTTTTATTCTTATATTGGTTACAATTCATCTAAATCCTGGATTATCTGCTGTCTCTGTTAATTTGTGTTTCTCCTTCGGCTGCTGAAAAGAAACACAGGCTTGTTGATAAAGCCTATCTGTCCCAGACAGCTCTGTTGACTCACTGGAGCTCCAGCTCTTGACAGCTGCAGTTCAATTAATCATGTGTCTTTTTGAATTGCATTGTACCCTCACAGAGAATACATCTATTCATCAAAAATGTCAACTTCTTGAAAATCTCTGGGCATGTTTTGCTCGATTAATCCCCCCTGCAAGCAGCCACAAGTTGCAGGAAAGCCCAATGCAAATGAATGCCTGATAGGGTGAAGAAAGCGGCTTTTGTAGATCGAATTCAAAGGTATTGTGGAGGATCTTCCCGAATTCTTGAAGAGACATGCGCTCTCCACTATAAAAGAAATGCACATGCACAACCCTGTACCTTCTCCCGAGAGGGAACGTCTATTAAAAGCATGCAAGAGCATGCATTTTTCCTCGTGCACGCTCTGTTTAAAAGTTGCTGTTTGCATTGCTTATATAACTTTACTTTCCAAAAGATTTGCAGTTTTTCCACCATGTCAGACTCAGAAGTAGGTGAAAATGGGGATGAGCACATAGGATGGCCGTATGTAAAATGATCATCAGAATGATTGACAATTAGGAGGACCATTTATTTTCATGATCCACCTGGAAAAACATCATCCTCCACCAGGCTTGGACTGGGAACGATTTTTCAGCCCCTGGCATTTTTCCATCTACACCAAACGTGCTCAAATGTGAAACACAATACGAATACACATTGTGGATTAACCGATCTATCTTCAAGCATCACACCACAACCATCACCAAAATAACGCAGTTTTACACAGACGCGACAGTGACTGCTGCTGCATAACGAGCACACTTCTACGAAGCCAGCAAGACACCTACTCAGACATACTATATCTACAATCTATGCAATGCAATCAATGCTCGGATGTGCCATCATTTTCTTCAACTGAATAAAAACAAAACTGAAGTAAATCTAGGTGTAGTGCTGGATTCAGACTTGAACCTCCAAAAGCATTTAAGGACAATTACACGGTCGGCTTTCTATCACCTGAAGAACATTTCCAGGATTAAAGGACTAATGTCTCAGCATGATCTGGAAAAACTAATCCATGCG